AATAAATTCTGGACAGAGGCACTTACCCCAAAAAACGCCTACCCCAAGATGCTCGCCATATTCCGTTACGGTCATTTGTTGCCATATATGTATATGTATTATATGATATGACTTTGTCATATGTTTATGTATATGTATATAATTATATATATGTATGTATATGTGAAAGTAAGGAAGTAACATGTCGTTGCTGGGGCTCAAGCCTCATGCCCCCTCCCGCGTTTCTGGCTTTGCTTGTGGAAGGGTTTGCTAGCAATTTTTGGGGATTAGGCTGCCCTATTTATTGCACCCAACCTGCTCTTGGGCTTTTGGGGTTCACCTTCCTTACCGGTTGGATTTTGGGCTTCTTGTGCTTTGGACTTGGCTTGTGGTGGCTGTCTGGCCTTGGTCTGGTGCCTTTTGGACTTCACCCACCTTGTCCACCTGTCTCTCGGCCTGGTCCTACTGCTTCGCGTGCCCGTGTTCTGTCTGCCTACTTGCATGAGCCGGGGGGCTTCCAGCGAGCCAGGGACCGTTGAGTCACTGCCTGGTGGGGTCCGTGTTGCAATCTTTGCACCGTCTTCCTCTGCCTCTTTGGCCACTCAGGTCTTCAACCACGTCGCTGCTTTCCAACCCGAGGGACCTGAACCTTCTGAGTTTGAGCTCATCTCTGCTGGGCCTTCTTCTCCTGTTGGTTTGGCTTCCCGTTTGCGTGCCCCTGAAACTCGAGACCAGATCCGTCGTTCCTTTGCCCCCTGCCCTTCTCGTCTCCTTGGACTTGGAGCAAGGCTCTGCGGTTCTTCCCTGTCTGGTCGTGCCCGAGTTGAGCGTGCCTGGTTGTGTGGCCAGTGGGCAGCTGCTGTCAAAGCCCAGCGAATCCATAGTCCTGACCGGACTCCTGCCATCGACCTCAAGAGTCGCTTCTACGCGGTGTTGGGGGCCCCTGGACTTTCTCAGCCCACCATCTTCCGCTCCTCTCGGGGTTACTGGGACTGCATCGGCCATCTTGAAGATTCGCCGTCCATCTCTCAGGCCTTCCCCAGTGAGGCTGAAGCGAAGATCTACTTGGAATCGGCAGGCGCCATCGAGTTTGATTTTGCCCCCTGAGCTGAATCATGGAAGCCCCTGTTGGACTTGGACTTTTGGACTTGGTGACCCTGGAGCAAGATGTGGAGCCATACATCATGGACTGGCCAGTCTTGGCCACAGAAGAGGATGGCGAGCCGGAAGTAGCCGCACTTGTGGTCGCAAAAAGAGATGGTGGCTTTCTAGCAGCTGTTCCAGTCGGCTTCATACCCGAAGAGGTTTTGGCAGCCGGCAATGCAGAAAGCCCCATTGGACTTGTGGGCCCATCGACAGTGCTTCAGATCCCCGGGGTGATCATCGAAGATGGGCGTTTGGCCCCAACTGGGACCCTCCTGACGGTCGTTGTAGTCGATCTGGGAGAGGACGCAGTTGCTCAGATGAGGCGGCCAGAAGCCTTGGAAGTTTATCCCTACAGCTTCGATGCCGATCAGCCTTTTGCAATCCCCTCCCCTCAAGAACTATTAGCTGCTGCTCGGGCGTGGGTAGCGGCAGATGCAGAGAGTTCAGTGCAGCTCTACTTCTCAGCCGAGGGCGAGGCGGAGGATCTTGCCGATGGAACCCCAGAAGGAGATCAAGATGGACGGCCGTCAACACCCCGCCCGAAAAGAGGGGCGCGTCCTCCGCCTGGGCGAGAGAAGCCTTCCGGAGGAGGAAAGCGGCACACTGTGGCCTCTCTTGCCGCTTCAGTGGAGGAGCTCCTCAAGATGAATGCCGGCCTGGCTCAGACAGTGCAGACCATTGCAGGGCGTCAGCAAGAATTAGAGAGGAGGTCAGTTCAGCAGTTGCCTCAGAACCAGACCCCTCACACCGTCTTGCGCCAGCCTTTATCAACTTCAGCTGCAGTGCCACATGCCCCCCTGGGTGCCCTGATGAAACAGCTTGGGACTCCACCTCGAACTCAAGCACCTACAGCCTCGGGACTGTTGTCATCTCCGCAGTTTCAACCAGCAGACCTTCTCGAGCTCGAGGACGAGAAGAAGCCCAAAGACCAAGGTACCTCCTCCGACCCTTTGGCCCAGGCGGTACTTGCCCAGTCTCAGGCGCTGACGGCACTTGTGAGCCAGATAGCCCAGCAAGGAGGCGATCCAATGTTGGAGCTGAACAGTGTTGGAGCAACAGCAGGAACACGTGGAGCTCAAGGCCGCGCCCGACTTCAGCAGGAGCTGGCTGCGCAGAAAGGCTCCTTCTTCCAGTCGGTCTTGGCGTCGATGGCTCGGCGTATGCAGCCGACAGCTTCGGCCGAGGGCTCACCTCAGGAGCTTCTAGACCGTGGAGTGTGTGGCACCAGGTATTTAGAACGCTTTGGAGGCTTTGCCAAGGTCAGGGAATTGGGATGCCTGCAACAACAAGTGATGTCCATTATGGATTGCCTCCAGGCCTCGAACCTGCAAGCGGCCCGGGACCAGACGGCTTTGTTGGCGGTCACACTGGATCAGGCGGCTTTGGATCAGGGCCGTTTCGAGCTGGCAAACCTATTGTGCTTGCAGGAGGAGCCTCCGTCGACGATCTTCACGAGCCGTCAGACAAACGTGCTGAATCGTCCACGGGCCTTCTCGCCTTTAGCGGATCAACGATGGGTGACGGTGGCTCTGGCGTATATAAAAGAATTGGACGTGATCACTTCGAAGAGGCTGGAACTTACAAACCAGTCTCGGCCAGGGACATTCTCAGCCGCCTCCACTGGAAGCGACAGCACCCCAGCACCGAGTGCCAAAGCAAAGCAGCAGCCAAAGAAGAAGGGAAAGGGAGGCGGGCGCGGAAGCAACAACTCCGCTTCCGCCGAGGCCGAAGAAACATGAGTGAGGGTGGGCTGGAGTCAAACCCCCTCACTGCAAATATAAACCTGTGTCAGTGGGCCATTTGCATGCCTCGCTGGATTTTGAGGTCACGCACAAAGCTTGCCTTCTGCCTCGCCCGTTCCTTTGCTGCCAAGTGTCGTTCTCCTCTGACGACTTCCACAGTCTTCCCTCTGCCCCTTCCGTCTTTGGACTGTTTTGGTGGTAGTGGCCCAAATCTCTCCAAACGTCGCTTGTGGTCCCTTGCCAAAACTCGTCTGCTCAACGTCTGGGTTCTGGTTTTGGACTTTCTTTACCTTGGCCGTTGGCCCACCTTGGAAGAGATGCGGAGGTCCCCCTCTGCCGTGCAGCTTGATGTCTTTGCTCGGCTTCGGACTATGTTGACTGTGTGTGGTGATGCCCAGGACAGCTTCCCTCTGTGCCCCGGCAGAACCGGCCCTGAGCTTGGTGCTCAACTGTTTCAGCTTGAAGCTTTTTGTGATCGTTGCCCTGACCTGCATGATGGTTATCTTGCCTGTGACAGCCAGAAACTTCATCTTGACAGGTCTCTTGTTCCCGTTTCAGAGCATCCTGAACTGTTGCCGTATCGTTCCTTGGACTCCTCCCGAATCAAGCTGACAGGTGAAGGAAGATGGCCCATGGCTGATTACCTGGATGGTTGTTTGTGGTTGCCTTTCCAAGAGCCCTCCTTTCTCATGCATGGCCTGCCAATTTCCCATGAAGCTGTTCCCAACTTCCGTGCGGAAAAGCCGGATGAGTGCCTTAAGCTTGCCTTGCTGTGGGATGCACGTGGTTTGCTTTTTCTGTCTGAGGCTCCGGTTCAGCCAGGGTACTTTTCTAGGGTTTTCAATGCCTACAAGAATCCTGAAAAAGACCGCCAGATCGGGGACAGGCGCTTGCCAAATGCCTCTGAGTATCATGTGGATGGCCCTTCCAAGTTCTTGCCTCAAGGCCAGCAGCTGACGATGTTGAAGTTGCCGAGGTTTACCCACTGCCTGCGTGGTTCTGTCACAGACCGGCGTGACTTTTACCACCAAAGTGCTGTGACCAGAGAGCGTGCTCGCACCAACATGCTGCCTTTTAGCTATGTTGCTGAAGCCTTCCATGACACAGTAGCCTGGGAGAGTTTCATGTCTGGTTTGCCTGTTGGACCTCGACGTCGTGAGCTTGTAGGCGACAACCTGAAAGGAAAGCCTGTCCCGAAGACCTGTCTTGTGCCTGAGCGTCTCTTTCCCTGCTTCAAGTCCTTGTTTCAAGGTGACCACTTGGGCGTTGAGTTTGCACTTAGGAGCCATGAAGTCCTTCTTCAACAACATGGACTTTTGGATCATCACACCAGGGTTGAGGGCCATAGGAATTTTCCTGCAGGTAGCCGATGGGATGCTTTGGTCATTGATGACTATTTTTGCCTAGGCTCAGAGCGCCTGAATGCACCCGCCAGTAGCAGTTTTGCATCCGAGAGTCTCCAGCGTGCCCACCAAGCTTACGAGTCCGACCAACTCCTAGGTTCCCCTGAGAAAGACATTTGGTCCGAAACTTGCCTAAAAGCCGCTGGAGCTGAGATCAGGTCAAATCAGAAGAATGTGCGCCTTGGATTCGTGCCTGTCTCATCCCCCCTGGCGAAGCGCTTGGCTCTGTCTGTCCTGTCAATACGTGCAGCTGCCCTACCTGGACTTTCTTCCGGTGTGTGTGCACGTCTGGCAGGAAACTGGGTTTCGGTCCTGCAGTTTCGGAAGTGTTGGTCCTCTGTGATTGACGGTCTCTTTCAGCTTGCGTCCAAGTGCCTCAGTGACCCTCAGCAGATGTTCTGTCTTTCCAGGTCAGTTGCTCAAGAACTTATCATGCTTGCCGCCGTTGCCCCTCTGATCACCAGCAACATAGCCGTTGATTACCTTGGATCAATCTTTGCGACTGATGCCTCCAATCGGAAGGGTGCAATTGTGCGAGCTGAAATCCCGCAGGATACCCAAGAGGCGCTGTGGTTGGACGCTGACCGGAAAGGATGCTATACACAGCTTGATCACCCTTTCCGAGCCCTGCTGCGTCAGATCGGTGAGTTCGACGCAGATGAAAGCCTCACTTCTGATGCCTATCATGAGGGCCCCGTGAAGTCTCCTTTGCTGTACTTTGACTTTGTGGAGATTTGCGGAGGAGCTGGAAAGGTTGCGGCTGCCTTGGCTGATATGGGTTTTGTCTGTGCCCCCAATCTTGACCTTTCAGAATCATGTCATTACGATTTGGCTTCGTTGCGGTTTCTGGAATGGATCATCTACATGATTGAGGAGAACAGGTTTAAGGCATTCCTCATTGAACCACCTTGCACCAGCTTCAGCCCTGCTGCTCACCCTGCCGTCAGGTCCTACCGTGAGCCTCTTGGATTTGATCGGCTCAACCCAAAGACTTTGCATGGGAATGTCTTGGCTTTCCGGTCGTTGGTTCTCTTGCGTGTTGGTCGTCGGCACCGTCGCCCTTGTGGACTTGAACAGAGCCGATTGAGCAAGATGGCCTGGCTTAGCACTTGGATCAGCCTTCGCAGTCAAGGGTTCAGTGAAGCTGTGATTGCATCTTGCCGGTTTCAGTCGATACATCGGAAGGAGTTCAGGTTCCTGTGCTACTTGCTGGACACGGAGTTCCTTGACTGCAGATGCTTGGGAGGTCACTCGCATGTCAAGGTTGAAGGAGCATACACAAAACCTTCAGCCGTTTACACTGATGCTTTGGCCTTGCATATAGCCTCCGCCTTCCGACAAGCCCTGCGCCGCTTGACCGCAGAAGACCTTCTCATGCCAGATGTCAGCGGCCATGAAACAGTTCTTTCGAATGACCTGATGCTGTCGTCCAAGTGGGAAGTCGTCCGGGCCTGGTTTTGGAAACATCAGGGGCACATCAATGTCTTGGAATTGTCCTCATCCGTCTCCAATCTTGTCTCTGTTAGTAAGTCCCAGTCGTCCGTGCGGTTTTGCAGCCTTGTGGACTCAGCTGTTTGCAAAGGTGCCCTCAGCAAAGGAAGGTCCTCCTCTAGGGCTCTTCAACCTCTGTTGAAGCGCTCCTGTGCTGTCTGTGTTGCCCGTGACCTTTACCCGGGTTGGATCTACACTCCCACTCGCCTCAACTGCGCTGATGACCCAACCCGTGACCAGATCCTCAGGTCTCCTCTTGGTCATTCTTTGTCAAGATCTGGAGTTCCCCTTGGCTTGCTGCGCCTTCTCAACCTGTCCGGTTTTCGCCGCTTTGCTTCAAATTGGGTTCGACTTGTCCTGTTCTTGATTTTCTCGCCTGTCGGAGATGCTGATCTCATCCGTGATCAACCCTGTGTGCTGGATTCTGCTTGGACTTACCGTACGACTGATCCCTGCGTGCCTGTCTCCTCTGTCTCTTCTGGCCCGTGGATTTCTTGGCACAGCACTCTCTGGACTCTCCCGAGTGCCTCTTTGTCCGTTTGGTGGGTTCTCCTGGCGGTATGCCTGACCCTGGTCTCCTGTGTTGTTTGCGGGCCTGGGTGGGTTGGGTGCAATAGGGATCCCCCTAATAAGGTAGGAGCTAGCAAGATCCCCCACAGGTTTTTGATGCGGTGCCTCCTTGCCATGGCCTTGTGCTGGTCTCCGGGATTCTGCATGCCGTTGGCCCCGACATCAGCAGCTGACAAGGCACGAGCGGTGACCCGCGCTGGTAACCATTTGGTCTGCACGAGGGCCGTGCGACAACAGACGATTGAGAAGCGCAAGGTTTATCTGGACGGTTTTCGATCTTGGCTGATCAGGGAGAAAGGGGTTTCGTTCAAGCAGCTGATTGAGTTGAAGCCGCCCGACCCCGAGCGCATCACTGATTTGCTCATCGACTACGGCCGTGAGCTCTATGCAGCAGGTCGTGCGTACGGAATCTTCGCGGAGACGATCAACGCTGTAGCTGTCGAGCGGCCACTGATCCGCAGGCAACTTACAGCGGCTTGGGACCTTGCTTTCGTGTGGTTGTCGGACGAGCCCCACCAGCATCATCCGGCGATGCCCATCAGTGTCATGCTGGCCATGGTATCTGTCGCACTATGCTGGGGTTGGGCACACGAAGCTGCGGTGATTTTGCTGGGCTGGGCCGGCATACTCCGAATCGGCGAAGTTTTGGCTGCAACAAGGCAGGAGCTAATCCTGCCTCAGGATGCCGCACCTGGCACCACCTTCATTTTACTGATCATCAGACAACCGAAGACACGGGGCAGAGCGGCCCGGCATCAAGCAGCTAGGATTGATCAGACAGATGTCATTTCATTTCTGACTGCGCTGTATGGATGCAGCGAGCCTTCATCACGACTCTGGCCTTTTTCGGCCGCTACACTGAGGAAGCGATTTGGCTTGCTGCTCGGAGCTCTCAACCTCCCCACCAAGAAGCTCCCCGGGACAGTTCCATATGACCTTGGAAGTTTACGACCAGGTGGAGCAACTTGGATGCTGCACAGGCTTGAGAACCCGGACATCCTGCGCAGGAGAGGACGATGGGCTTCATGGCGCACAATGAATATCTATGTTCAAGAAGTACAGGTTGCAACCTATGCTGAGAAACTGGAGCCAAAAACGCGGGACTTAATTCAACTTTATGCAGGTGGCTATGAAATCCTGATCGAGCGCTGTACGGCTTTTCTCAACACAGGAATTCCAGCCACAGTTTGGTTTTTCCTTTTGAAAGCTGCAGGTGATCTTGAGCAGAACGCCGAAAGGAATGGGGATGACGGTGTTTTCTCTGCTTCAGCCAACAATTACCGTGCTGAAGCATGATGCAACCTCCAAACCTGGCAGCAAAACAGAGTGGCAGCTTCCTTGAAAGTAAGGAAGTAACATGTCGTTGCTGGGGCTCAAGCCCCCACCCCCCCAGCCCTGCTGCAGCTTTCTCCTAAGGTGTTTTCTCTGCTTCAGCCAACAATTACCGTGCTGAAGCATGATGCAACCTCCAAACCTGGCAGCAAAACAGAGTGGCAGCTTCCTTATATATGTATATGTATATGTATATGTATATGTGTATGTATATGTATATGTGTATGTATATGTATATGTGTGTGTGTATATGTATATGTATATGTATATACCCATGCATTGAGTTTGGCAGGCTTGGGTGTGCATGTATCATCTTTAAGTGTTTCAATGAATGCTACCATTTTGGCTCAAGTAAACTTGAACCAAAATAGCATTCATTGCTGTTTTCTTTCTTGGTCTTGGTAAGGGGTGACCTTTCCAGACCTTGATTGGGTGGTTCAAATTATATACAAGGGGCGACCTTGTATGCAGCGCAAACTCCCAGGAATCGATATCCCGGCAGCCACTGAGGCGAAGATCCTTCATGCTGCTGCTTTCCTGGAGTTCAAGAGCCACGTGGAAAGGCTGGCGCGGGAGGGCTCTGATGCTGCAGCATACACATGCTGGATGCATGGCATTGAGGTGTTGCATTCCCCCTACGTCATCACGACTGGGACAGATTCAGAGCTTTTCCCCCCCCTGCCGAAGCTACCCTGTTGCCTTGATGACTGCCAGCGTTGCGCAGCTCATGTGGGGGGGTTCAAGTTCCCGTGGCTCGGCTTGTGGAACAGCCGTGGCGTTGTGCTGCCCGATGATGTGGCGCCTGCGGATGCTTGGGCGTACTACTACCAGCACCAGGACCCCATGGACCTGCTGCTGGTCGCTGCCTATACGAAGCACAAAGTGGCCGCTGACATCGTGCCCCAGGATCTCTACGGGTTGCAGCTCAGGTGCTCAGCGGGCGACGCTGGGCAACTGGGCTTGGGGGAGCTGTTCGATCAATGGAGGAGCTGGCTCAGATGCACAGGCCCTCACGAGCTCCTACCGGTCTTCCTCGAGCCGCGGCATTTCCCCAGAGCACCTAGGGGGCGACCCTGGGTGGCCTGGGGGAGAGAAGGCGCCAGGGCACATCGAGCGCTATGTGGATGGCTGGAATGCCAGGATGCAGGCATGCTTCAGCTGGGCACCGCCTGCACAGAGTGCGGAGATCCCACCAGGCGCGTGTGCTGGGCATGCTGCGTCGGGATGTGTAGTGACTGCTTCACCTGGCGTGAGCCATGCAGCACTTGTGGAGGACGTAAGAAGATGTTTGCTGCAGGTTGATTTTATGACAGAGGAGGCACCTCTGAAGTCACCGCAGCATCTTTTTGCTCTCCGCACCTTAGCAATCTTGTTAGGGTGCAGCGCCATGGCATCAGGCGGCAAAGGCTACTATGCAGCTCAAGCGGCAGCTTCGTCCTCGTCAGGGGGTGACCCTGAACCGGGATGGAGAGCAGCCGACTCCTTGATGATGATAGCTGCACAGCGTGCGCGTCAATGGAGGGAGAACGAAGGCCTCCTGGACGACAACGACTTCGCCTATGCCTACACCGACTACGATCAAGTCGTTGGACTAGCTGGCCATCACGTAGCAGATGACTGGCTGCAGACAAGAGCAAGGGTGGAAGAGCACCTCCTTGCTGCTGGGGCCAAAGTCGTGGAGGACAACCCCAAGGGTTCCGTCACTCTGCGCCCTGTGCGCAAGACAATCTACAAGAAAAAGCCCAAGGCCGTCAACGTCACCAAGAACCTGGATGAGGCCGTCCAAAAGCGGGTGAACGGCTTGGTGTCGATGTTTGTCGGAATGGGCGCATACAAACCAGCTGGCATCTTGACAGACACCCTCAAGGCCGAATGGAAACAAACGTGCAAGAGGATCGCCGAGAAGAAGGTGAAGGACGCGGAGAAGGCGACCATTGACCGAGTGGTCAACACCTGGTTGGAGCTGAGGGCCTTCTTGGAGAGTCGGGGGCGACCCGCTCCTCCTGGAATGGTCGACCTGGATCAGTTCCTCAACCACACCCAGGCGCCAGCACGAGCACTCCAAGCCTTGAAATGGATGAACAAGAATGCCGACCAAGACATGGAGCTGGGAAACTTGCAAGTGCCTACAACACCCAGGGCGACTGGGCAGCGTGGGCAAGCACCGGTGGTGGAGCCGCCATTAGTGCAGGCCTTGGAGGACCGCATCACGGAGTTGCACGCGGTCGGCGATGAGAGGTGGTCAGTTCTTCTGGCTCCTTGGATCATGTCGTTTGGCTGTTTGAGGTATGCGCACATCGCGCGGTCAGAACCTCGGCGCCTCACCGCTGCATTCCTCCATTGCAGGTGCCCTAAGGGAAAACAAAAGCATGCCCGCGAAGGTTTCGACTTTGCGGTGCCGGCCACATTCGCCAACGGCTTCTTTTGGGCCAAGGAAGTGCTGGAGGCATACAGGACGCTGGCACCAGCAAGGCAGAGACTTGCAGGCCTTTGTTTTTCGGACGAAGGGCGCCCATGGACGATCCTAGAAGTGCAAGAGACGATGCAACAGGAAATGTCCGTGTTCCTCGACAATCCAGAAGATCTGACCACCTACAGCTGGAGGAGGCTTGCACCCACGGTGGCCCAGTTGTTAGGATGCAGGCCTGAAGAAATGGCAGCCCTGGGCGACTGGCAAAACAAGAGTGAGCAACCAGAGGTGGGGGCGATGGCATTTCACTATTCTTCGGCAAAATACGCCGCGTCGGTCAAGGTGAAATCCCTGATCTGGGGCGCTACGGCCAAGCTCGCTAGCAACCTGCTGTGGGAGGCGATCCCGCAGGCAGAGCTAGATGCAGCCCGAGCTCATGGCCTTACTGAAGCTGACAGGTTGCTGCGACAAGACCGCCAACCTATTTGGGCCTCTGCACATAGCTTCCAGGACGTGAAGAAGAGGCTCAAGTTGTCACAGCAGTTTGTTGAAGCGGCACAGCAAGCCCGGCAAGAGGCCGTAGCCGCACCGGCACCTCAGATGCCTGATCAACTCAATGGCAAGGTGCTGACGGCCACTTTGAAGAATGGCAAGGCCATTTGCCCGGAGTTCCAGACGGACGAGTGCCCGAATCCGGCAGACTCCTGCCCCTTCGGAGTGCACTTGTGTGCCATTCTACAAAAGTCAGGACGGGCATGTGGTGGCAAGCACGGTGCAGGCGTCTGCAACATCAAGCGGGCGGTGTTGGCCGCAACAGCAGTGCCAGCGGCACCCAAGCCATCGGCCACCTTGGTGCCGGCAGCCGTGGGGGAGAAGGCCACTTTTGGCCGGAAGAGGACCGCGGCGAGCGGTGCCACTGACGACGAGATGGCCGAGGTGATGCGCGCAGCTGTCAAGAAAGCCCGAGGTCAGGCTGCACCCAAGACTCCGCCCAAGGCGCCAGCCATTGCAGCCCCCAAGACACCTCCGAAGGCTGCAGCCACTACACCTAAGCCACCGGCCACAGCTGCGAAGTCCAGGGCTACAACCACAACGCCGAAGCGCTTGGCCGCTCCTGGGAAGCCACAGATCAAGGCCATGCCAAAGAAAGGCCATGGCAAGGCAGCAGGAGACACCTTGGACCTCCACTTGGAGCGGTTGGGTGTGGGCTCAGGGACAGCCCAGGCCCCGACTTGCATCTGGACATCCCGGAAGGGTGGTGGCATCTACCTGGCAGGACTTCCAATGAGGCAGACGGTGGACAAGTTCCCCAAGACAGCGTTGCAGATCTGCTGCTTCCCGAATGGTCCTGAGAGCCGGGGGGGGGTGACCCTCCCGGGAGCTCAGTTGATGACCTTCGCGGCGGCATACAGCCAGGAACGCAACGAACAGTGGACAGACGTGTGGCCGGCCGTCAAGAACACTGTTTGGCACGGCGACAACGTCGTGGTGCACTGCATCAAGGGGCGACACCGGGGTGCTTTCTTAGGCATCCTCTGCCGTGCATTGCTGGCCGGCGAGTCCATTGAGGATGCCAACCACTACGTGGAGAGCCGCAGGGATACAGAGCTGAACAAGGTCATTCGCGACCAAGGCATGCGGAAGTGGCTGCACAAGACCTTCCAGGACACCGCGGTGGGAACACAGCACCCCGAGCCGCAGGGATATGCAGCTACGGAGAGGTCCAGCACCCATGTCACGGTCGAGGACGGCATCACCTTGTGCCAGCACAAGCAGGCCGATGGGAAGGCGAAGCGCCTGGTGAACCCATACATGTCCACGGACGTCTTTGAAGCTCTGGCATGGGAGCGCCCCTGGTGTGACCAGTGCCTCCGTCGAGCGCCAGCGTCATGGTGGCCGCCTGCCTAAGATGCCCAAGCCGAATTTTTGGCCTTTGCGCTGATCAGCAGCACTGGCCCGTTCCGGCCATGGAGAGCCGAATTCATCAGCTCGGGGCTTGGATAAGAGCTTCAATCCAGCCTGCATGACCGCCCCCAGCAGTAACATCATGCGCGAGAGGAAAATAGTAGAGCCAGGTGACTTTCAGTGGGGTGCCCACTGAGCAAGTGCCGTGCCCTCATGTCCTTTCGTTGTGTTTTTCAAGTTTTTCCTTTCATGACAACGCACAAGACCATCTGGGAGGGGGACCTCAGATAGTCTAGTGTACCATAGCTCTGTGGCGGCATGAAGGTGATGTCATGTGAGGTCGCAACATAGCTGTGCGTTGTACACATGTCCAGATTTCACATCAGTGTATGTCAGGGTCCATTTATTTCATGCCACGCCAGGCTGTTCCAGCACAACGCACGGGGGAGACCCGAGGCGCAGTTTTCAGTCAAAGGGAGGGGATCCCTGGGCCTTAGCTAGAGGGGTGTCCTCGAGAATAGGCCATGGAGACTGATAAAGTCCCACTGGAAAAGGGTTCCCCAGAGGAAATCCTAAGGAAGTTGGGTGACAACTTCTCGTTGGATGATGGGGTAATTACAGCCCTGCTCCGGTTGGGCGTCGAAAGTTT